GTGTGTGTGTGTGTGTGTGTGTGTGTGTGTGTGTGTGTGTTGATACAGTGTAAATATAATTACTCTTCAGATTGAACTGTAGTAGATTCAACTATCATCCATCCATCCATCCATCCATCCATCCATCCATCCATCCATCTTTAAAAAACTTAAAGGTCCAATGTGTTTCTCAGGCATATAGTTCCATTCTATACCATATTAAAGTATCTATTTCAACTTCAGTTGTTATTAAAATGCTGGTTTTATGTATAAATCAAAAATAAGTTTGACTTCGCATCACAACTGTTTCTAAATGCCTTGAAATTGGCCTTTGTCTCTTTAAGAACCCCCTACTGCTTCAGACACGCCAATTTCTGCACATCATCACAATGGTTTCATGTTGTTTACAGCCTGGAGCGTCGTAACCTTCTTTGTTGTAATAATAATTTAAAAATGCAGCAACATTGTACGATGCCAGTTTTGAAAAAATTGCAACTCAGGAAAAAACTGAACCTTACCATCTGACACGGAAAGTCCTTTTATTTTTWAAAAAAAAAGAAGAAGATGAAGAAGAACCAGAGCGAGTAGCGAGACAACGTTTCAGCTTGGTAAGATATCTCCTAGTCATCCTCACAGACTCACAGACACACACGTTAATGTTAAGCTAATTTATTTATTATTAAAATGTGGAGTAACCCAGCTAAAGAGCACAGATCGTAATATAAGAAACAAATAGTAACTGTAGATTACAGATAGACCAAACAATTGAACAAAATGTGTGTTTTTTAGCTTACCTGGGCAGGTGACAACAGGGTTTGCAAATTACTGAGTGTTGGAATTGCATCGTCTTTTAGTGATAATCTTATTAGTCCACTGTTACATTCCCTTTTGTTCAGAAAGCTGTCATCAGTAAAGTGGCTCGCACAAACAAACAAATAAATAAATAAATATTTTTCTTCCAAAAATTTTTTTAAGAACCATGTCATCTTTGCGAAGCTCAAAAAGAGCGTAGTCTTTTTGGCATTTGAAAATTTCCTCAAAGGCGTTTTTTAATCCGAAAAGGACTCAAGTGAAAAGTAGTTAGTATTACGAGCTCAGACGCGCAGTTTCACCAGTTGTTTGCTAGTTYTTGCTGCCGATAGCCTGCAGGAGTTGCAGGGGAGTTGGTGGTCTGTGATGAGGAAGCTCGGCTTGGAGACACAGCCCAGAGGAGGAGCTGCTCCTTAAAGGCGGTTCTAGGGCCAACCAAATGTTTTTGATTTCCTGAATGATAACGTTATAACAAGATATAAAGCTCAAAAAAGTAGATTTTACATGATATTGTCTCTTTAAAACAGTTTTGTGACTTCTCAGTTGCATTTTCTGTTTGAACACAAGGTGAAAATAATCAGTTTGGGCTTTTTCACTTTACATTTGATCAATTAGGGTTGGGCTTTATTGATTTTTTCATACTAACATATAATTTTTAGAAATACAATGGTATAGGTTATTACCACGCAGGGCAGAAAGGGGCAGGGCATAAGCGTGTGTTGAGTTGCTTTCTCCTGCTCTCACTGTCTCTCCATCACCATCAAATGCCATCGTCAGTGTGGGGGTGTATGTTTTTTGGCTCAAGAGGAAGACAAGACTGACGGCAGTTTGAGATGTTTTTTCTGTGAGACTACAAAAAAGTGGCGCTTACTATTTTTCATAGCTCCATTTTTTTTGGCCTATCAACACAATTTAAAAACAGGTGTAAATTTGGAAGTCTCTACTTTGARTTTAATTAAAACAGAGTCTCGGAAAAGGCATGTCTTTCCATCTATAGTGATTTAAGTAGGTAATGTAACTGCTTCGGAGGGTTATACCGTCATAGTTTTTACTGTCACCATTTCAATACTGAGATYTACCACAATACCACCATACTGCCAAAGCCTAGTAACAATTTTCTTTTTCTCAATGCATATACTCTTTCAAATAAACAAATATTCATGACTGTGAGATTTGAGTAGTTTTCTCATGGTCAAGTTTTGGACAATACTTTTCTGGATCTCTTAAGTATTTTTCTAACTGAATACCATTCTTACCCTTCAAGCAAGAGAGATGTTACATGAACTCAACTAACATTTTTGTTGTGTTGAGTCTCTGCATTAAACAGTAGTTGATTTCATGCCATGTCGGCTAATTTATACAAGTCTTAATGCTGTGGGACCCGATTCATTAGCATAAAGTTAATATATACAAGAGTAATACTGCAGTCACTGCACTGATCTCTGCCTGGAAGTTGTGTTTTTTGTGAAGGTTCACCAAGACTTTATTCCCGGACTGAGTGTTTGCGTTCACACACTTGTGAAATGCATGTGAGTGCTGTTCTCCTCTGTGCCTTTACTGTGGTTTTCTTTTCATTCATTTGACATTTTGTGATCTTGTTCAAACAGTGCGAGAGAGACAGGAGACGGAGACCTCATACTGGGGGAAATATTGATGGACGGACCCAAAATACTGACAGAACAACTTAAGACTCAGACACCAACTGTATTAACAGACGCCAGGAATCGATTGTTCATTCATTCCAATAGGCTTCCCGTGGACAGGAAAAGGACAGAAGCATTCACTACAAAATCCCTCAGTGGATTTCCTCCGAGAGGTTTTTTTGTAAGTTCTTGGGCTTCTCTCGTAGTTGTGGTCTATTAGTCAATGCAACATGAAGAACATGGCTGGAAATGAATGCAAACAAACAACCTAATTTTCACTTTGAGGTTACTGAACACGTTTTTCACAAGGGTTGACGCCAAAAGGTTTGACCAAAATGGCCACAAGTTTGTCATTTCTCAGCATACAATGATCTTCCTCTAAAACTCTGGCAGAAAAGGGCACAGACAACATGCGTTCTTTCAAAGAACTCATTCAGTCTCTTACCTTCTTGTCGGAGAGACCCGACACCGTGTCGATGTATTGCTCCTGGATCATGAAAGCAGCCAGGTTGGCAGTGTAAGAAGCCAGGAAGATGACAGCGAAGAAGGCCCAGACCAGGACCATGATTTTACTGGTGGTTCCTTTGGGGTTCTCGATGGGGACAGAGTTGTTGAAGACGATGCCCCACAGCAGCCACACGGATTTCCCAATGGTGAACGTCGGACCACCGGGAGCTAAAAAGAGAGCTTAGTGATAATCATAGTTTGCGAGTTTTGACGAAACAGATGTTTAGATACCAAAAAAGTCCATTCTTCAATCATCTCACGCATTTGTTCAAGCTTCTAAACGAGAGAAGTATTTCCCTGCCTCAGCTCATTTTCATTGTTCTTTTCCACCGTTGCTTTTGTGCAGCAACAGAGTTCCACCATCATCAATCACACTTCAATTAGCGCAGCCACAAATGCTAATTAAAACAAGGAAATGACCTTTCGGACCTGGAGACGGGCACGCTCTGTCAGTGCTGCATTCTGGGAATGATTAGCCCTCCTCCCAAAAATCTTGCTCAGCAGCTCTAACTGTTGCAGGACAGATCAAGCTGAATTACACAAGCTTACTGTGAAATACTTTGCAAATTGAGTAGCTCTAAGCTGTTTGGTGGATATTTTTAAGAGGACACATACAAATAAAACCACTTGATCCATTTAGGCGTTTTACTGAACATAGATTTTAAAGGATAAATGTGGAAGACAGTGTATTTGTTTTTCCAGATACTTTTATAATATCGTGGAAACATATTGTTCTTCAATCAACCTTATAATTAAAATGAAAACAATGAAGGAGTAAAACTCACCTTTAGCGCTGACCAGACTGCGGTTGTAGCCGACTGGACTGAAGTATTCAAACACGAACACCGTCACAGCCACCACGGTCAGGCACATCACGAACATCATAACCCAGACTGCTGGACTGTAAGGCTCTGGCAGCGGTAGAAAGGTGAAAGTACAAAAATACATTAATGAGACACTCTAGCTCATTTTGTTTTAGTCTTTTTTCAGCTGATGAGCCTGGGATTTTTCTTCCTTAAAAGGGTGACATGGTARGAAAACAAAAAATGAAACCCATGCTTTTTGTGTGTGTTTCCTGTTTGTTAAGCTAAGCTGTGATAGAAGAGTGGTCGTGTGAGATTTGAGGATAACGGAAGGAAGAATTTACAGATGCAGAAATGAAAGAAGGGAAAAGCTCTGTTCAGGATTCTYTGTTAAATGTTGGTATTTGAGGTTTGGAAAAGGGATTTAGGTGTGTGTGTGGTGTGTACGGCGACTCAGTTGTAGATTACAGACATTGCTGGGATAAAAGCTTAATGGGAATTTTCATGAAGTGTCTACAGGGACAGAACTTGACTAAGTAGGCCATCCTGGGAGAAAGTAGTAAGAGGAAAAGTGGTGGAAACATGGGAAGATACAAAAAAATGAACACTGCCGAAATAGTCCTCACCAAGAAACGCAGATGGGGACACTGTCCCATTGCTGCGTGCCACCATGACACTGATGCCCGTCTCCACAAACGGCACGGAGAAGTCGATGATTTCAGAACGCTCTTCGTTGATGGTGAGCGAGCCAATGGCCATGTCAGCACGCCTGTAKACAACCTGGGAGAAGAAAGAGATGAAGATGATGCAGTGTCAATGGGTCTCATGCAAGAACATGTTCGTATTCTTATCCTAAATTTCTCTTACTTTTGTTCGTACGAAGGGTTT